CCCCCACTGCTCCCAAAGACCCGCCCCACAGGTACTTCAAAGGCCCACCTCCCCACAGGGCTGCTCCACCTCTTTGTCAAAGCTTTGCACCACTCCTCCCACAGCCTTGGCTCCAAACTGGCAAGAGCCCCGCCCCGCCGCTCACAGCTCCACCTCCCAACCACTCTGCCCTCCAGTCTTCTGCGAGCCCGCCCCTCCTGCATAAGTCCTGCAACTCCTCTTCAGCTCCGCCCACTCCCACTGGCTTCACCCCTGTCTTTCTCCTGCTCACTGGACCTCCAATTTGTGTCACCATCCCCCGTTCTCCTGCCAACAGGCACCAGCCAGCCCCACTGCACTGAGCCAGCTTCAGGGCCATGCCTGGCACGTCTCCTAGAAAGTTCTGGCTTCCAGCCCAGGCGAGTGGGCATGGCCTACGTACTTGCCGTCTCTGCGTGTGTATGACGCCAGCACACGCGTTCCAGAAGGCAGGGCTTCAGTGAGCTTAGTCCTGGCCCTGTTTCCTGTCCCCTTGTGGCGGCAGCAGCAGCACAGTAAGCCTGCAGGTGGGTAGCCTGTGGCCAAGAACTGCTGGCAGCTAGGCCTGCAGCAGACCAGTACCTAGGAGCCCTGACCAGGGAGGGAGCAGGAGTCTCCTGGTGGCCATCCAAATTCCAGCTCCTGTGACCATCCAGGGAGGGGAGGAACAACATATTTTTAAGGGCCAGGGCCCCACTGTGAGCAGCTGCCCAACAGGAAATGGTGTCTGTGCTGTTGTGGGTGGTGCCTCCCATCTGGAGTAGGGACCAGCCCCTCCCCCGTTCCTCCCCACCCCCACCCCCAGCAAACACCCAATAATGTACCTCTGTTTGCTCTCTTAGGTCTGAGACCTTGGATGCATGCCACAACACCCCTCTCTAAGGAGCCGGTGCGGGGGGAGACAGGCAACCATTGCCCTCTCAGATAATCACAACCCAGAGAAAACCACTACCTTCTGGCACTCTTCTTGGTGACCCACCAAGTGGGCGGAGGTGGGCACTCAGAGTGTGTACAACAAGGAGGGGCCATGGAGGGCTCCTGGAGACAGGCCTCTTGAGCTTACAGAGGGAGAGATGCTTCTGAGGGAGACTTGAGACCAGGTCCCAGAAAGACAGTAGGTGGGTGGGTGGGGGGTCTCAGGAGCCCCAGGGTGGGGATCAGAGGCCAGGTAGTGTGTATTAACTGCTGCTGTCTGTGTCCAGGCACCAGGCTGAGTATGGCCCCTATGGAAGGACAGGTGTGCACCCAGGAAGCTGATGGTCTGAGCCATGGAGAATCTGGGCCTTGCATGGCCAAGGGGTGCTCTGGCTGCCTCCTCCAAGGGGCGCCCTGCTGGATAGGGCCCATCAGACAAGAAGGCGGAAGTATCTCAGGGGCAGGTTGCATAAAATCAGGTCCCTGTGACTTGTGTGCCTCATTCCCTGCTGCTCCTGCTGCTGGGGGTAAAGGTTGCTCCCACCCTTGGGATTGTGGGGAGCTGTGAACTCAGCTCTCATCGATTGCACCAGGGAAATGACAGTCAGCTAGCTTTGTGGCAGGGGCAGGTTTTGATGTTCTCTGGAGGACTTGTCCCTGATGGACTCGGGGTCCTCTTGGCTCAGGCTGGGAAGGGCTGGCTGCCACCAGGAGGAGCAGTGTGAGAGCGGGGTGTCCGGAGGGGAATGCCAGGGAGTCTTGGTAGCTTGGGGTGCAGTGTCTCCATGAGAGCATAGTACAGGTTTGAAGAGGCCTAGTCACCACCCCCGCCCCAGCAGGCCCATGCCCTTCTGTCTCCCCTCGGGTGACTTGTGAGCAGCAACCCCCTCTCGCACACTTGTTGTCCTGCACTGGACGTTCTCTAGCTCCCCAAACACCAGTCATTGGATCCACACCACTCCTGTGGGTCAGTGTGGTCAGTGCCATTAGGGACGCCAGGGGCATCAAGCCCATAGACTGGTGGGTGACTCAGCTCCTTGTCCTGTGTCCTCAGCCACAGACAGAGGAGGATCCAACAGCACTCCCCAAGATGAAGTTCGACTGCCTGTCCTTCCGACAGCCCTATGCCGGCCTGGTACTGAACCGAGTCAAGACCCTGGAGACGCGCTGGCGTCCGCTGCTGAGAGGCCACAGTAGTCGGACCCTGGCCGTGCACATCGCCCGCAGAGACTGGGAAGATGACACCTGGCGGGAGGTGTTGCAGGACAGGCTGGGGATGACCCCGGCCCAGATCCAGGCCCTGCTGCAGGACGGGGAGCGGTTCGGACGAGGGGTGATTGCAGGTGAGGCTGGCTCAGGGTCCACCTTCTCTGGACTGCTGACTGGGGTCCTGAGGGGCTGTGAATAGCTCCTTTCAGAGGGCTCGGTGTAGGCAAGGGGCACTGGGTGGGGCCAGTTGGAGTCCAGTCCTCGCCAGGCTGGCGACCTCAGCTCTTCCTGGGGCCTGAGAGGCCGTAGTAGGTGTGTTCCTGCACACGTGTGTGCCAGTACCCCGGGCCGAGACCACTGGGCATGCTGGGGCTCTCGGAGAGTGTCTGTTGTTGGACCCCCGGAGCCAGCCTCGGGCCTGGGATCCCAGGCTCACCCCACTCCTCCCTGCGGACCCACCCCTATGCCCGACACCTCAATCCGTGGGGTTGTGGGCCAATGGGACTGTCAGCAACCCAGACGTGCCCGAGAGCACCCATCAGCCACATTCCCCAGGACCACGCTGCCCTGACAATCTGACTGGGACCCCCAGGATCAGTGGGCTCCCTGAGGACCAGGCTGTCATCCTCCCCACCCCTCCCTCAGCCTCACCGAGAAGCCGAGAGCAGAGCCTGGTTCGTTGGGACGTTCAGTGAGGGGCAGCGGGGTGACCTGTGTCCTTGTGGCTCTGTCACTTGGTCCAAAGTGACTGTCACCGGGTGTGGGAGTGTCGCTCTGGCAGGAGGGGGCACAGAAGGAGAAACTGCACGTGTCTGTTGTGTCCACAGGGCTCGTGGACGTGGGGGAGACAGTGCAGTGCCCCGAAGACCTGGCTCCCGAGGAGGCTGCTGAGCTGGAAACGCAAGCCCTGCTTCCAGGCTTACAACACAAGTACCTGACCACACTCTCCAACCCACGCTGGCTGCGGGAGCCCATACCCAGGGCAGGGGGCAAGGACCTCTTCCAAGTGGACATCCCGGAACACCTGATCCCCTCAGGACAGGAGGCCTGAAGAGGCTGGGCGCCCCAGAGGGACGTGACTGAGGAGCCGGCCTGTGAATACGTGAGCCGGGTCCTACAACAGTGGCCTTGGTGGTGTTGAGACCATATCCTGCACTGTACCTGCAGGGGACCTGACAGCTCTGTCCAGAGGGGTTGGGGAGGGCTACACGCTCCCCCGGAGGTGTGTTCTTGGCCTCCTAGATAAAGTCTCAAGGACGTTGTCCTCTACCAGGAATTACCGGAGCAGGGCCCTTCTTCCAGATGTGCTCAAGCCTGCCTGATGCAAATCAGTAGCCAAAGGAGACTGCTAGGTGCTGGGGGCTCCCTGTACCTGTCTCCTCGGAGGGGACTGTTTGGCGTTGGAGGGGCCTTGCTGAAGCACTCTCCATTTTTCCATCTGGACAGATGTTTGGATCCTGGTTCGGGGGGTGGGGGGGTGGGCAGAGGTCTACTTTGTATCCAATAGAGAGACTTACCTGTGCATGGTGAGAGGTCATGAGGTGTATTGTATCTGTTTCTCTTTGACCAGCTAAGGGTCCCCTGGACCTTATCTATGACTCGTGTGGGGGAGGGCCTGTTAGCCTGGGCAGTCCCGGATCTCCAGAGACACCAGGCAGTGCCAGTGTAATCTTTGGCACATGGGGTGGCCCTACTTTTAGGGGGTTCCTCTTGGGAGCTAGGGACACTCAGCTGTTGGCCAGCCCCTCCACAGGACATGCAGGGGGATCCATGGCCCTGCAACCCCCGTTTCCAGGACAGGCAACAGTCCCAGCAGCAGCTGGGCGGGAAGATGCTGCTGCTACACCAAAGGAGGGGCGGCAGAGAGTGGCAGAGCGGACTCAGGAAGACTCAGGAGCTCTAGCTTCCAGCCAAGCGGCACCTGCTTTCGGCGAGGACCAGGAGAGAAACAACACAGACTCACGTTGCTTGTAAAAGGATTGATATTACCCTTGTGGGGGGTTTCTTTATTAAATCAGAAACAGGCTCCCTGGTTAGGACCTGTAAGACATCGTGGAAACCTAGTCCTCCTGGTCACTCTTGTATTGCTCGCAGAGGGCACAGTCGTGACCCGCGGAGCACTGCGGGGCCCTGGGGGCCTCATCGGGGGCCATCACCGACAGGGCCATCATCAGGATGGAGTAGCAGGTGTTGTACATGGACAGGACAGTGGTATAATCGGCATACACCCTGGGCCTGGTGACCAGTGGGTCCGTCACTGCAGGCCAGGTGCCTGCTGGAAGTGACATGGGCATGGTGTTTTGAGAAGTGCCCTCCCCAGGGTCCATGGTGGGCTGGACGGGGGCAGGCCTCGGCAAGGGAGCACCGGTCATATTGGTCACTGAGCCGAAGCTAGAGGGCATAAAGCACTGGGTGTTACTGGGCCCCGGGAGGTTGGGGGGCTTCCCGAGAGCCGCAGGCTTATTGGGGTCCTTCGTGACGCTCTTCTGCTGGAACCCAGAGGTCTGCTTTTTCCTCTTCGGAGACGGGGCCATGGTGTCCGGCTCGAGCCTGGTCGCGAAGGCAGCATGAGCGCTTTTCTTGGCAGTTCCTCTTCTCCGGATGTTTTGCAGCAGCCACGGGTGGCCCCTCTTGAAGTTGGGGTTGCGGTAGACCTGAAACATAGGAGACCTGTGAGGCATTCTGGGATCTAAGAGTCATACTCTTCCCCTGGCAAAGCCCACCCAGCCAACCTCCCCTACCCCAGCCTGCACCGCCGCACCCCCGAAGAAAAAAACCCTCCTTCCCTCCCACCTCCAGCCCACCTCTAATTCAGGCCTCTCTGGGCTCAGGTGGAAAGGACTTTTCCAGTCTGGCAGACCGGTTTTCCGTTGCCTTGAGTCATGAGCTCACCATCCAGGGGAACCTACTGTTAGGACAGACCCACCCTGGAACGTACCCTCCCAGGGTCCCTAACCCGTGCTGTCCCAGGAACACACCATGGGGACCCAAGTACTTTCTACGTTACCATCAGCTTCTTCTGAGTGTTACTGCAGCGGATTTTGACGAAGCCGTGGACTTTGAACTGCCGAATGATACTCTTCAAGCTGTCGATCTCAAAAATTCTCTCAGCGCCTCTGCGGAGAAGGACTTCCTGCTGGAAGAGGTCTTCCTCTATGATCACCAAGTCCCCGCATTCGTTCCAGTACACAGACTTGATCTCGCTGCTCTCCACCAGCATCCACAGCTTGCTGGGGAAGGGGAACCTGACAAGGAAGCTTTCTTCTACTCGGGCGTCTTGGGAGGACGGCCCCGCGTTGTCTGGGAAGCCAGGGTCCTGGCTCACATGCTGGTGGTCTCGGTGCTCACCCGAAATCTCCCTCAGTTCCACGTTTGGATCAGGGACAGCGTTCAGTGGGGCGCCTTCTTCTGGCATGTCACCAACAGAGACGAGTTTGACTCTGTCTTTCTCCCTCGCACCTTCGGTAGCCATGGAGGTTCACTTCGGGAGCATCGGTACCCAAAACCCAATCATAGACTTTTCGAGTCCAGTGGAGTCGCGTCTCAACTGCCTCCAGTCAGGGCAGTGAAGATCAAGAGATACTGTTCAGGGCATTCTAGAGTCTTCGTTGTCGTGAGGCAACCAGCTTACCTCACTGAGGAGGGCCAATAGAACTCTGGGAAGGGCAGCCGAGGCCATGGGCAGGGGAGGGCCCACTTAGCAGGGAGCCATTTTTCTCTCCTTTCTCAAAGCAGAGAGAGACCGACCGGGTTACCAGTTCCCACAGAAGCTCCCGCCTGCTGAAAGACACATGCATTCCATGGGGTCAGGCCCTGGATGAGCCCAGGACTAGGTGCCTCCCAGAGACAGCGGTCATTGGTGGCTCCTTGGCCCTGTCTTCCCTCTTTCCTGCTGTGGACTCCCCCTTCCAGCGACACCTGCAGGTTGGTGGGCCCCGTTCAGTAAAGGGTCCTGACTTGCTAGCAGTGGGTCACACTGTCAGCAAGCAGGGCCAGGCTGAGCATGGCGGGCCTCTCCTCCGCCTCCTCGCCCCAAGCGGCCCCAAAGCATGTCCTGGGCTACTGGATGGCACGTGCTCACCTCATAGGCTGCACTGGGTCTGCAGTGGAACCTTTTGGCTCCAAGTCTCTTCTCACTACAGGTGGCAGCGCTTCCTCTGGCCTTGCCGTGGCCCCGGGCCTGCCCAGTGTTGGAGCACCTGTGTACGCCTTCCCCTTGCCCAATGCTCCCTGGCCCGACACCAAGGCTCTGGACTCAGAAGTCTTCACATCCCCAAGTCCAATCAAGCCTCCTATTTCAGAGAGTTGATTTGAGGGTTCAGTGAACCATCCCCCACCCATGCCAACCCGACTCTTCTTGCCTCAGTGACACACACACACCTCCCTGCCCTGTCATCCTCCGTCTCCACAATGGGGAGGCTTCGGGAACACGGAATGGTCTTGTTTGAACGTATGTCCGTCGCTCCGACCAAGGTCCACGTTACACAGACTCATGCCCAAGGACAAGCCCACATACCTAGCCCGAGGGGACTATAGGAAGCCACGGGGACAAGCGCCACCAATGTGCACTTGAGCAGAGCGGGGTCGCTGGGAGACAGGCTGGGATGACATCCAAATGCAAGTCCCCCAGGGCCCCAGATGGCATGATGCCACAGCATGTTTGGTGGTACTTATTGTCTGCCATCAGTGGGCACTCTGCTCTCAGTATCCACTCTTTAAGGCAGGAACTTAGTTCACACCTGGGGGTTCTCCTCTGCAGCCTGAGAACCCCCCCACCCCACCCCACCCCGGCAACACCTTGGTGTAAGGACTGTACCACTAGGTGGGAGGGAAAGGGTGGCAAGGTAGGTAGGGCCTTCAGTACAAAGCTGGTTTTCTCTAGAACATGCTGGGTCTGCCTTAAGGAGCCTTGTCTGCTGACGTTCATCCTTGTCCCCAGAGTCACAGAATGTCTTCTGGGAATCTCTGTTAGGGATTGAATTGTGCTCCCCACTCCCAAATATGTGTTGTAGATTCTAGCCCATAATCCCCTTTGGAAATGGGCTCTCTTCGTTATGTTAATGAGGCACAGATTCCTCTCAGGGGTGTTCCAAAGCAAATCAATTTCTTTGGAGACACCACA